TTCCTGCTCCCACTGAATGTAATGGCTGAACTCCTATGAACTTGCAAGGGAGCTGGATTGTGCTGCAAAACATCACCAGAGCAGACATGCCCATACATTATGTTACTATGTGCCACGTGTGTTTAAAAATGTGTAACCTTGCTTAAACCATACCAACCTACAAGTGTCAATCATATACCACAATCAAAACAAGGCTCACACTTCACCAGCATTATTGTTATTAATATTCATGTAGCAAACCCCCAGGTGTCACAACCCCTACCAGATAATATTGTAATGCATAATAAAATCACATGTGGCATATGGCATTATTAGGTCAACAGTTAAAAGTCCACAGAAGATGATGGGAATAGTGAAAGGACATTAAACTGCAAAATGGAAAATGGCTGTGTAAGAGTAATAGCCCTAGGGACCAACATTGCCCTGCCTCAATTATTAACATTGCCAAAAGGTACACTCCCTATGACAGACCTTTGGTTCATAATTGTGATGTATGATAAGTCTGGTGTGGCAAATATTACCCTGCAAAAGTACCATGGCTTAATCTTTTGACAATCTGAGAACTTATTTCATTTTTCTAACATTAATATGAATATGCAACAGCTAAGTCTTGATTTGAAAAACGTTGAGGGTATTTTTAAGTAGGAAACCACTGGAGTCTATTCCAGCTTCAAAAGAAGTAACTGGAACACAGAAAAGCCCACTTAAATCAGTCCTTAGACAGAGGATTCGATGAAGACTGCCTGCATTTTAATGATGCATGGGGCTTGAAACCCCTGCTGTATAACTAGGTCTGCAAAATCAAAAGGCAAAATCTGGTAGAAATTTGTATTACTTTATAATGGTCCCATTCTGTTGCTGGACATAACATATGTGGCTCCCTTTGAATTCAATTCAACAGAAACTCCATGTGAGCATATCTGAGCAGACTGTGACCCACAGATGTGGAAAAACACCCACATACTTGATGCAGCACACTTTCTTTTCTTTTAAACAGTAGCATCTGGCCTTAAGTGTTTTAACACACTGAGACTGATGTGCTTGACATATTGTGGACTTGTTGAGTTCCTTCCTTTATTTGGTGATGCTGAACTTGATAGCAGTCAGAAGTACCAGGTGATTAATCAGTCTTTTTCTTAAAGGTTATCTGTTAAAACTACACCTGATTAATACGGCCCAATGACAGAAGAGCAGCAATAGATCCCTTTTGGCTGACCCTTAGGCCAGCAGTGTATAACAATGGACAGGTTTCATTTATAATGTAGTGAACACACCTGGAAATCTGCTTGTAATTAGGAGGTGATAATGAATCCATCTATCAAGAGGAGGCCTGTTTGTCAGCAGCTCTGGATGCTAAACCAGATATTTACTGTAAATCCCTCAGGCTTTCTATAGAAGCTGTGCCTGCAAATATGAACCTTTGCAACCCCAAAACAGACTCTTTTTGGTCTCTGGTCTGATTTTGAGGGAGGCATTTCTTTTGTTTTTAAACATACTGTGCAGCCCTCCTTCTAATAAAGGGCAAAAGCTGACAGCAATGGGTTGCAAATGTGGAAGAATCTTTTAACTTCAAACTTCTTTGTTTCCCTCAGCAAAACAAAAAGACACAAAAGTTTTAGCTCTGATAGGCAGGGAGGCAAAGGAGTCCTATATAAATTGCAAATAATTGCAGAAAATAGCCTGACGTATCAGAATGGATGTGATAAAGAGAGGTACACAGCTCTCTTTACTTCGCTCAAGAAGTTTAGGTCACTTAGAACGTAGAAGATTATGGAGATGATACTAAAACCATTTCATAAATAATCTGATTAATATGAGCTTCCAAAGGAAGCTCAGGCTCAAAGAAGACTTTGAGATTATGAGCTTTGGAAACTGGAAAAATAGAATTACTGTCAAAGAAAACTGTCAGGGAAGATAAAAAAGAATGGAAAAGTTTGGAAGGGTCTTGACAGTAACTGTTCTTTCTTATTGTCATTCATAGCAAATTTACAATTAAAAAAAAAAAGAAAAGAAAAAGAAACAAAGGAAAATAAACCTGTAACAGAAATAGAGCCGTTATTGATGTCACTGGGGTGTCCTCAACATACTGTGCAAATAACACCAAAGACAACAATATAAAAAATACTGCTGATTGAAAGTATAAAAACAATAAAGGCCCTAATATTGATTTCTGCAAGAAACCACAAGCAGTTTGGACAACCCTGAAAGCAGCCTAAGCGTTAAGCTACACTCCAAGTAAGTGTTCCACTAAAAGGCAAAAGCAAACACTTACCTATGGCAACAAAAAAGGTGGTGAAAACATCTAGCGGTCCCTGCTCTACTAACAGCAGCTGCAGCGATTAACAACACTGGTCTGTTAGCTGCCCTCTACAAAGTGTTAAAGAATAAGCCATGGACGTCTGGCTATAATTTGTCAAACAGATTTGTCAAATACGTTATTTTATATGGAGGGATTTTAAAGTTTACCTCCAGCCTCCTCTCCACAACCAGCTAATTACCTTCTCGTATCTTCTAAGGAAGTTGAAGAGAGGCCATTAATTAATAAATAAGATGATCTTCAGCAGGCCCCAGCCTTCTGATGCCATCTTTAAACATTCCAGAAGGCAACTTTTATGATGGCAGAATTCAGGAGTGTTCATAACAGCATTACTCAAACAGTCCAAACACTCCTTGAGCCACCAGCCTTCAAAAGTGTTTGCTGAAAAAAAAGTCCATTAAAGAAACCTTAGAATATATACAGACTGAGGAATATGAACAATCCAGGATAAGAGGTTAATTGAATGATAACTGAGTGTGCATATGCATTTTATGCAATCATCTTAAGGGGATGCTTCAGCCACATCTACAATCTTTGTTTCCATGGGCTCTTCAGAATACTGGGATGGGATAATCCAGGATGGTGTTGTTCGCAGTTCTTATCTTTATTAATATGCCACATGATCTTTTACAAGGGCTCAAGCATGGAGGGGCCATGAGCCTCTGAGCAAGGTTATTGTGGTGGTTTTTCCATCACAGCAGCGGACTAGGAGCCAGGTTAAGAACTAAAATGCATTTCCCGTTTCTCTGAATAGGGTACAGAGAAGTAATCAGTGCACGCCTCGTATCCCAACCAGACCCCCTCTACTTCAGATGTTGAGGCATGCACAGTGATGGGCAGAGCCAATGCCCCACTCACTCTCCACCCTGCATACAAAAGGCAGAAGAAAACTCCACAGACACTGTTTCTCCCTTACAGCATATCTAGCCCATGGATGGAGGTAAGGAAATGCCATATGACTTTATGTGACTGTGCAATGAAGTAAAGTTGTTCACTAGTGAGTCCAAAAGGGGTAAGGCTTTATAAAATGGGACAGGACAACCAGTGGGCAATAATATGAAGCAAGAAAGTAAAAATATGTGAACAATTACACAAAACGAGTTAAATATGTGAACAATTACACAAAATGAGTTGAGGCAAGAGAAAAACAGTGGTCAAAAAATTGCCTGGGGGAAAGAACAACATTTGAAATGGAAGCTTAAAGTATGTGTGAACTCTAACATAACGTGAGTTTAACCAAAACAATTAAAATGCTTAATAACAAATTTACAAGTGTAAAGCAACAGCCTGAGCATTAGCATTAAATACACCAAAACTGAGGAAGATGGACGATTCACTACCAAATCAGATGCAAGTGAACAAAATTCATTAAGAAAATCTGATTGACTTTTCTGCCATTAATAAACAGCCTAAAGTGTAACCGAACACAAGGATGGACAGGAAAAGGACACGCAATAGGCACACTACAAGGAAGCATGCCTAACAGATTAATGGAGAAGATTAATGGACATTGTGCCCCTGTCCAGCCCTCAAGGGAAGCAAAGAGGTGGCTAGATACACCTTATTTTGGAAATATCAGATGCCTGCAGCCAGGTTTTAGGGTAAGAGTTTTAATCAGGTTTTAAATGGTAATAATATCTGATTTCACCAGGAATTTATTCATGAGTGATACTATGTTAAAATAACAGCTCTCAGATCGTGATCCATGGAGCCCTTAAAAGTAGTCCATGAAAAGCCAGAAGGTTTCACAGCATTGTTTCTCCTTCTTAATTCTGGGTGTTTCTAAAGGCTTTTCCTGGCCAAGATCTAAATGCAGTGAGAAAGGAAGACAATCCACGGGAAAAGGTCAGGAGGTATTTTATGTGGTGCATAAGGCAATCAAGGAACCAAGCAATGTATATAAGTGGTTGAGGAAGAGACCAGAAAGTAAAGTCTGTGGAGGAAGAGGGCAGGAAGACAAAAAGCGAGAGAAGGATAAGAGTAGATGACAAAGCAGGGAGAAACACTGTGACTAGCTTTTTACAAGAATGATCCAGCACTCTGGCAACTGCTACAGTTCTCACGGCAGCGCTGCTGTGCGACTGGTACGCAACTCCAACCTGTGGAAAGCAGCCTTCTGGCCAGAGCGCTGGTGCCAGGGGATCGAGTGTACAATAGTTCCTTGGCAAGCACTGCTTCATGTTCCATGTGGTGGAAAACTTTCAGCTCATAAAATACATTACAATAGTGCTATTTTAAAATATTGATTTATTTTTAAGCTGTATGTCACTAAAGAGGTATGTTTGCAGGATGTAACAGAGACAACCCCACCCCACCTTTTTCTAGAATGCCACTGAGGAAGAAGCTGGGATGTGGAGCATGTGCATAAAGGAGTTGGGGACCAGACATATTGAAGGTAATGTTAATGGGGATGATGCTGCCTATGAGAGGACCCTCCAGTCTTACAAAAGGTTGAATGCTGCCAGGGTACACTTCCTTCAGTAAATCCCAGGATCAGGCTCTGAGTTAACAGCCAGCTGGGGGTAGAAATGCTAACCCTAAACACAGTTAACTTTTTGCAATAAGTTTGCAAAGTGTTACAAAAGTACTGGATTTTATGATCATATAGTGATACTGGTACACAAGCCAGGAAATAAACAACTTTACTAGGAACATCAAGGACAAAAATCAATTTTGGAAAATACATTTTGGGGGAAAAAAGAGTAACAGTTTTAATTTTCCATGTGTATAGCCTAAATGATGGAGTATAAAAACAAAATCAGAAGCATGAACAAGAATTATCATTATTTTGTTAAACAACCTTGTGGGCCATAATTCAAGGATGCTGTTTGGAAAATGGCCTCAGTTGTGTGTCGAGTGGGGCACTGAGTAGTGACCCCAACCCAGACACGCTCGGGGATGCCAAGTGTGAGAGAGGAAAAAAGCGCGACAACTAGTAGGTGAAGAAAATTCATAAGTTTACTTACAAGCCAACAAGATGATTAACGAGTTGAATCAACTTGATGAATACAGGAACTAATTACAAGGACTATTTACAGTAGCAGGTGGACACAGACGACGTGGTGCGGAGAACGAACAGATGATGGGTAGCGGCGAGTGACAAGCAAGGTGTAATCGTGAAGGTCGACTGCAGCCGAAAATACTATCAGTACAAGTATGATGCCTAGTTGGGCAACACACAGGGCGTCCCGGATTGCGTGTGGTCTAGCTATAAGCTGTAGCAGCCTATGCTAGTAATCTAGCCTAGGGGTCTGTCCAGACGACAAGACAGGTGATCAGGCTGTCTTTTCGATCTGATCCCAAGGACCGGAGTCTAGGAGCGTCTGGGGACCTCGCGCCGAGGCGCGCAGTCCCCTTTATAGACTCCCTAGCCAATCAGGGTCCCCTCTGATGGAACATTCTGGAGGCCTCAGCATGCTGGTCCGGCCAGTCACGCTCTAGGGTTAACTCCTGACTGGTTAGGCCATAAGCGATCACGCACTGTCTGCATGATGGTGCATATTAAGGTCACATTCCTCTGCCACTGCGTCACCGAATGTCACTCACAGGTAGCCATGTCACTTAATGTCTCAAACAACAATCTGGTGGAGTCACATGACCTCCTGACAAACCTGAGGGCTAATCCAACGTATTGGCATGAGCATGAACAGAATTAAATGGTGGGGGGTAGGGGAAGGCAGCGGGGAGGAAAGATTACTGATCCACAGTAACTATTTTTGCAAAACTCTGGCAACTGAGAAACTGTGGACTCTCTATTCGTAGACATTTTAAAAGCAGGTTAGATAGGCACTTGGCTGGGGTGGTTTAGTCAGGGATGATCCTGCCTTGAGCAGGGAGCTGGACCAGATGACCTCAAGAAGTCCCTTCCAGCCCTATTTTCCTATAATCCTGTGAATTTACCCCTGTTTCACTCAGGGGCAGGCTGCTCTGGTTTCGCTTCCACTTACTGGAGGACAAGAGCAGACATGTTAAATGGTTATTGCAGAGCAGCTGGTGTGTGATAAGTTCTCTTAACCTCCTTTAACTCAGTGTAATTTGTTTGTGTGTTCACACCCAGCCATGGCCATTTCAAGTGAGCGCCCAGCAATGAGAAATTGAATTTTCAAAACTATTTTTCAAAGTTAAAGCTGTATCAAATATACCACCTGCTACACAGAATCCTGAAAGCACAGCAAGTCCACTGTATTATGAATGGTCAGTAATTGGAACCACCCTTAATACTGAGAAGACAGTAATTGAGAAATAAAAATAGAACATTTCAATAAGTGCACCATTTTCCCTGAAGGCAGAGCATTACTGCAGCTACACGCATCTGATCAGTTTAAATCTATTTAGAGATCCTGATCCTGCTGTAACTGTTTAAAGAGCTTCCTCTTATACTATTTGCAGGAAGCACTGGCTGGCCCATTCAAAAGTATAAGCACATAAATATAAAAGCATCAGCTGGTTTATAACTGAAGTAGTAAAAAAAACCCCAGATATAAATCTAGCTACTCTATTTGATTATACTGCCCTTACCTGATGCAGCTAGTGAACATGTTATCCAGCACAGGACCAGCATGTTATATTTACAGATTAACCTAAACTCACAGCAGCATTATCACCCAAGGGGAAGGTCAGGAAAGGAACTGATTTTAGGTATCCCAAGTTCTCCCTGGCACCCTACTTGCTTCGTGGTGAAGCAATCTGTTACAGATCTACACCCGCAGCAGATTATTTTTTCCTTTGTGCCAGTGAAATTTAATTTCTGGACAAACTAAAAGTGCAGTCACAGCCTTTACCTGCCTATTAGCACAGGAGCTGAAGCATCAAAAGCTTCTTGAGATGACAGGAGATACCCTATCTTGGTGTCTTACTCCTCCTCACCTTCCTGTGCAGCCACAGGAAGCATAAACCTGTTCATAATTAGCGACTCATTTTACATACATGATAAAGAGCCACAATCCTATGTGCATAGACAGCAGCTTCCTAATTCTCTATATTCTTTGGCCTTGCAATTTTAGTAGCTACTTATAACCATTTCTTCTCCTCTCAACCACACCTCCCTTCCCAATTCCTCTCAAAGAAATGGTGCTCTAAGCTTCAAAATATGACTACTTACACTGTGACAACATAATCACAGCACCTACTGAGTCCAGTGGAAGTTCTAAGTGCACAGCCTACTAGAGCCAGGCTCCTGTGTTCATTTGATGGACACAACTCTTCCAAATATTTTCATTCTGCTCCTGTGAGATAAATCATTTAATACTGTTCTAGCATGACTTTTATTACTATAGGAAAAAACCAGGAATAAATAAATCCTGACTGCAACACCTGGAATGTAGCTATTAGGGAAACAAGGATACATTTTGGTAGCTCTGTGTGCATATCTTACTTGCTGCTCATAAAGGCCAAAGATTCATAGATTCATAGATGTTAGGGCCAGAAGAGACCTCCATAGATCATCAAATCCAACCCCCTGCATAGGCAGGAAAGAGGGCTGGGTCTACATGACCCCAGCTAGATGCCTATCTAACCCCCTCTTGAAGGCCCCGAGT